TCCGAATATGATATCAAAAATTCAAAATTCAAGTTGGCGGAGCCAATATGGCGGATAGATTTTTTAAATAATAAAAAATTCTTACTTGTTACACGAGGGTTTTTGGTGTCGTTGAATTCAAATGTGAAGATAATAAATGAAAATGTCGAATTCAATTTGGCGAACGACTTCCTGAAGCATTATTCTATTCATTTTGAGTTTTTTTACTTTCCTTTTGCATTACCCAGGGCTAACGACGTGGACGTAGAAAGTTATGTAGCCCCCTTTTTTTTTTTGAATTTTTATATTTTTTTTGGAATTTTGAATTTTTTGAATTTTTTTTATGTTTTTTTATAAGTTTTTGAGAGAACAACGTAGAAGTACAGTGGATTGAAAATTAAATTTTTTGATAATGTTTCCATACCTATTTTGATATGAAGTCTTTTCGAATAAAAAGAATCTAATTATATGTTTTCCTTCGTATGATATTCTTCGAAGCACGGAGCAACACACAAGGCAATGTTGCAAGTAGAACACTCATACTTGGTTCTTTGTCTAATTTTACGTAGAGAACACAAATGGCAGCGACGATATCCTTTACTCAAAGCAGGAAAATGCCGTCCTGTTAGTCGGAGGTGTTCACAAGGTCGCGGTATGGTTGTAGGACATTTATTGAGGATGGATCTGATCACTTTCATTCGAAATGTAGAAAACGATATATAATCATTTTTCATTTTATACATTGAATAAGCAGCAGAGAGTGATAGGTCCATCAAGTGGAGAAACAACTTTCTATACCATTTCATTGTCTTTCGTACTGATTCGGTCAACGCCAACTGCCTATCAATATTGTCAACGCCACCCATATTTCTATTATATTCTATAACACAAGTCGGTTTTATAATATCATCATTTGTGCGATAATGCTTCTTTCCAGTGGCACTAAAATCAAGTTCATGTACGGTTGTAATAACATAAACTTCCTTTTTATCCATCCACTTGAGAACAAGCCAGCAAAGTTTATGAGCAACTTCCACTTTACCTCGTTTCAATTTTGTTTGTAATTTTGGCATTCCTTTCCTGTTTTTCCTTACTGTTCCACAAAGTCCTGTATCACGATCGTGCAAGAATTCAGCCAGTTCAGGGGATGAATACCAGTTATCTGTGAAGACAACGTGCCCCTTATAAAAGTGAGGTTTCAAAAAATGAGCAACAATGTCCCCAGTAATTCCCAAGCCGAACTTTTCGTAATCAGTATTGGCGCCTGTATATATAACAAAATTTAGTATAAAACCTGTTTCGCAATCGACCAATTCGAAAAGTTTTATACCGAAACGATGTCTTTTCAAAGGAAGGAATTGCTTGAATACTAGCCTGCCCTTCCAAAGCATAAGACTTTCATCAATACATACATTTTGACCTGGAATGATAGTATTAGACATTTTATTTTGTAAATAATCTACAATTGGTTTTATTTTTTTCAGTGGATGTTTTGAAGTCTCTTTATTATTTTGGAAATGTAAATATTTTAAAATTTGTAAATAACGATTTCTAGTCATCACTTCTCTAAATATTGGAGTTGACAGCAAAGAATCAATACTCCAATAATCCTTTATATCGTTTTTTCTGACGTGCCCCATTAGAATTGAGAGGGCGAAGAACTTCCGTAATTCCTCGATAGTTAGAGGTACCCATTTTTTCATTTTGGACGGGCAGATTCTGGATTTTGAGATTGAAAGCGATTCGTTTCGTCCACAATCAATTGAAGCAATGGTATATCAAAAAACCATTCAAAATAGTCAACCGGTTCATTCCCATTCAGAGGAATGTTTTCTGCAATTTTTGATGTGCCAATAAACTCTTTGATAGATGGATGAAAGCTACTGTCACGAAAGAAGTCTGTAGCAGACCAACTATCGGGTTCTTCGCAATCCAAATCTTCTTCATTGCAAACCTCTAAATTGGTTGGATCTGTTTCCTCTGGCTCAGATTCACCACTACTCCAATTTACTTCCTCCTCAATTACGTCCATGTCGTTCGATTGAATTTTAGAAAATTGGTTACTTCGGAAAAAAGTAAACAAAAGAATCAATAAGATGAAAAATAATAACTCGCAAATATAGATTCAAAGACGCAGCAACTGCATACTAATTCAGATTTTGAACAAAAGTAAATATGAATATGAATGTTCAAAGAGTGAAATAAAGAAGAAACAAAATATCTCATAAAACAATTTAGAATTTTAGATGTTCAACTGTTTCGGTGTTCATTATACCAATAATACCAATAATACCAATAATACCAATACCAATAATACCAATAATACCAATAATACCAATACCAATACCATAATACCAATTCAAATTTTGAAAAACACTCTTTGGACATTCATATTCATGTTTACATTTGTTCAAACCGCGACCTTGTGAACACCTCCGACTAACAGGACGGCATTTTCCTGCTTTGAGTAAAGGATATCGTCGCTGCCATTTGTGTTCTCTACGTAAAATTAGACAAAGAACCAAGTATGAGTGTTCTACTTGCAACATTGCCTTGTGTGTTGCTCCGTGCTTCGAAGAATATCATACGAAGGAAAACATATAATTAGATTCTTTTTATTCGAAAAGACTTCATATCAAAATAGGTATGGAAACATTATCAAAAAATTTAATTTTCAATCCACTGTACTTCTACGTTGTTCTCTCAAAAACTTATAAAAAAACATAAAAAAAATTCAAAAAATTCAAAATTCCAAAAAAAATATAAAAATTCAAAAAAAAAAGGGGGCTACATAACTTTCTACGTCCACGTCGTTAGCCCTGGGTAATGCAAAAGGAAAGTAAAAAAACTCAAAATGAATAGAATAATGCTTCAGGAAGTCGTTCGCCAAATTGAATTCGACATTTTCATTTATTATCTTCACATTTGAATTCAACGACACCAAAAACCCTCGTGTAACAAGTAAGAATTTTTTATTATTTAAAAAATCTATCCGCCATATTGGCTCCGCCAACTTGAATTTTGAATTTTTGATATCATATTCGGA